TTGGGATTAAAGGTGTACACTGTCCGGAGAGATGGCTCAACACGTAAGAACACTGGCTGCTTTTCTACAGGACTGGGTTCAATTCCTCGAACCTGTATCAAGGGTTCCTACACTTCTTCTAGCCTTCACTGGGTATTGTATACACATGCATGGGGTATGCAGACATACATACAGGCAAAACACTCACATTCACTTAAAAAGAGAAAAGCGCCGGGCGGTGGTGGTGCACACCTTTAATCCCAGCACTCGGGAGGGAGGCAGAGGCAGGCGGATCTCTGTGAGTTTGAGACCAGCCTGGTCTACAGAGTGAGTTCCAGGAAAGGCACAAAGCTACACAGAGAAACCCTGTCTCGAAAAACCAAAAAGAGAGAAAGAGAGAGGAAGAGAGAGAGAGAGGAAGAGAGAGAGAGAGGAGAGAGAGAGAGAGAGAGAGAGAGAGAGAGAGAGAGAGAGAGAGAGAGAGAAGCATGCATTACCATGCCTGAAGCCTTTTCGGATTTTATTTATTTATTTTTAATGTTGTCTGTGTGAGGTCTGGGAAGGCCAGAAGAGGGTGTTGGATCCCTGGAGGCGGAGTTACAGGCAGTTGTGAGTCACTAAACTGGGAGCTGGGAACTAAACTCTGGTCCTCTGGGAGAGCAGCAAGTGCTTTTAACCACTGGGCAGTCTCTCCAGAGGCCCCTAACCACGCCCCCTCCACACACGGTACCTTATACATTGTAGCACCCCTAGGAGTCTGACCTTATAGTGACCCTACATGAGAGCCACTGACTTCATGGTGTATGCCTATAACCGGAAGTGGTTGGCGTTCTTTGTCTGTGCTGGGACTCAGGTTCAGACTGGTGGCCCGCTGCTTCTCCGGAACATTAGGCGGATGGAAGTCAACAGTTTCAGAGGCTGGATTCCATTTAGACTCAGAACACACAATTCTAAAGCTCTCTGCATCCTCCTTATGAATTCCTTTCCCGATTCAATGAGCCAGAGCCACTTCTCTGTGGCTGGCACCTAAAAAGTCTAGGTAATGCCAAACATCTCTCTCAGTGGTCCATTAGTATGTTTATAAAGGTTTGGTAAATACATTTTCTTCGCTGTTAGCTTGCAAACTCTGAAAAGCTGTCTCCATTTCTAATAGAATATCCTTGCCTTGCCTACAGTATGGGGAACAGTATAGGTCAAAGGTTACAAAGTTGTAGAGTCTGGGCTGTACCCAGAAAGTACATATTCGGATCAATCTGCAGGGTTGATGTTTTCTGTTGTCTGACTCAATACAGGCCACAGTCTGAAAGTCCAGGATGCTGAGGTCGCAGACCATTTGAATTTGCACCAGACTGGACAGTACTGTGTGACCTTGATGAAAAGAAAAAAAGTCCCAACATTGGCACACGTCTATTCCCAGCGTTAGGGAATAGGCTAAGGCAGGAGGAAGAGCAGTTTCAGGCCAGCCTGTGCTACATCATGACTCTGCTTCAGAAAAACAAAACAAAATAATAAAAAAAGAACTATGGTGTTATATGCCTGTGAGGTAGCAGGAGGAGGGTCAGGAGTTCAAGGACACCTTTAGCTGCATAGCCAGTTTGAGGCCAGCGTAATATTTGGCCTCAAAATAAGTCAATATTTAAGAATATGTTTCTATTATCTTAAAAAAAAAAAAAAACCTGCGCTGGGCGGTGGTGGATCTCTATGCGTTCGAGGCCAGCCTGGTCTACAGGGCAAGATCCAGGACAAGCATCTGAACTACACAGAGAAACCCTGTCTCAAAAAAACATAAACAAAACGGGGCTGGAGAGATAGCTCAGAAGTTAAGATCACTGGCTGTTCTTCCAGAGGTCCTAAGTTCAATTCCCACCAACCACATGGTGGCTCACAACTATCTATAATGAGATTTGGTGCCCTCTTCTGGCCTGCAGGCATACACCCAGGCAGAACATTGTATACATAAAAAAATAAATAAATAAACAAAACAATTTTTTTTTTTTTTTGCTGGGTGGTGGTGGCGCCTGCCCTTGATCCCAACACTCAGGAGGCAGAGGCAGGTAGATCTCAGTATATTTGAGGCCATCCTGGTCTACAAAGCTAGTTCCAGGACAGCCAGGGATACAGAGAAACCCTGTCTCAACCACCCCGTCCAAAAAAGCTTGACATTTAGTTATTTATTTGTGTATGTGTGTTGGCATGTGTATCACAGCCTGAGTGTGTGTCACAGCCTGTGTGTGTCACAGCTTGTGTGTAGAAGTCAGAGGAAAACTTTTGGGAGTTGGAGCTAGATCTCTCTCTTTTATTATTATTATTGTTGTTTTGTTTTGTTTTTTTTTGTTTTTGTTTTTTGAGACAGGGTTTCTCTGTGTAGCTTTGAACCTTTCCTGGAACTTGCTTTTTAGACCAGGCTGTCCTCGAACTCACAGAGACCCACCTGGCTCTGCCTCCCGAGTGCTGTGATTAAAGGCATGCACCACCACCGCCCAGCACTATTATTATTATTTTTGAGACAGGGTCTCTCTGTGTAGCCCTCTGCTTCCTGAGTGCTGGGATTAAAGGCTTGCCACACTGCACAGCAGGTTGTCTTCCTATACCGTGTGAGTTCCAAGGATTGAACACAGGTCAACAGGTGTGGTGGCGGGACCTTTACCCACGAGGCATCTTGTCTGCCCTCTATTAAATAACAGTATTCTCTCTCTTTCTCTACACACACACACACACACACACACACACACACACACATTTTTTTCCATGACTGGGCATGATGGCACGTGTGTCATCCCAGAGTCCAGTTTGATGCCAGGCTAGGCCACTTTAACTAAAAACAAACATGTTTCAGATAAAATCTCCATATGATCTTGAAAAATATAGAAGATAGGGACAGGCATGGAGGGACCTGGGAGACTGAATCAGGAGGATCACAAGTTTGAAGCCCACCAATGCAGGGTGTGGTGACACATGCCTTTAATCCCAGCACTCAGGAGGCAGAAGCTGGTGGATTTCTGTGAGTTCGAGGCCAGCCAGGACTGCATAGTGAGACTCTGCCTTACTAAAACACTCGCCCTTACTAAGGAGGACCTGAAGATCTGCCTATTTTGGGCCTGCATTCCTGTAGCTGCACTCTTTAAACAAAACTCTGGCATTTGTTTGCCAAAGAACAAAGAACTCATGTTGCTCACTTTCTTTCTTTTTGTTTTATTTATTTATTTTTTTGGGGGGAGACTGGGTTTCTCTGTGTAGCTTTGGAGCCTTTCCTGAAACTCACTCTGTAGCCCAGGTTGGCCTCAAACTGACGGAGATCCGCCTGCCTCTGCCTCCCGAGTGCCGGGATTAAAGGCGTGCGCCACCACCGCCGCCCGGCCATGTTCCTCACTTTCTTTACTTTTGTTACTTATGAGGTAAAGTTTACCACACTCAGAGATCAGCAGAAGTAAAGTGAATAAATAATAAATGAATTGGCAATTAGCACTTGCTTTTTAATTTTCACTTAACTTCTATTCACCTAACTATACTGTAATAAGCCATTTAGCGGACTGAGTTCTATTAATTATTTTTCTCCAAATTACTTTTTCAGTTCTCACATCTATCAACAAACACTCATACAGGTTCCTAAAACCTTTCTCTTTTTCCCAGAGGCGACCCCCGACCACATAGGCCTGGACCACCTCAATTTGGTCACTTGGAGGTGCAGGTGCCTGAAATTCCATCAGTGTGACCTGCTCCCTGGGCCAAATTGTGACTGGTGATTTGTCAGGTAGGCATTATTTCCAGGTAACACAAACACACAACTTGGTGAAGCCAATTATAGACAAGACGCCATCCGCCCTCTCGCAAGTTCTCGCTGAGGTGTGGAAGTTCCTAGCTGGGAAGTGGGAAAGGTGCGGGGAGCCTGCAAGGAGCCACGTTCTGGAATTTAACCCTGGCTTTCAGGGTGGGGACTCGGAGAAAGTCTGAGATCCACCCTGGGGGTGTGGCTCCCGGCGTGCAATCCTGGAACAACTTCAGGACCCTCCAGATCCGAGCCCTTGGGCGCTTTCAATCTGGACCGGCTCATCTCCAGCTCCTGTCCCCGCGTGGCTGGGCTTTGCGCGGCGACTGCCCTCCGACTGTAAGTCGCGCCCTTCCGCGACACCTCTCTCCGCGCTTTCTGCATCCATTTCCCCGAAAGGACCGGTGACTTGGGGGGTAACTCCCTGTTTGGAAACCCGGCTCCGAGAGAGACACTTGTAGAGGCCTCCCTGAGCTCCAGCCGGGGGTGGGTGTCCCAGGAGGAGACCCCCCCAAAGCTAGGGGACACCCCACGCCACCCTTCGCCCCTGCGCCGCCGCCGCCCG